CTCGGGTCCGCGAGGGTCCATAGGCACGCACTAGAAGAGTTCCTCTGTCTGCCCATATGAGAGACAGAGGATAACAGACGAATTGAGTATGGGGGACGTATAGCAACTGCTCGCGAGAGTCAGAGAGATGTACCGGTTACGGGAGTATCGACATCGAGCAGACGGTAGGCTCGGCGCAGCTCAAAGACGTCGCGAGATAAGCAGGCAGGCGCGCGCGACAAGACAGCTCGGACACGTCGGGAGAGAGGCAGGAAAGTCACACAGGTCACCGAGCGGGGAGTCACGGGGGTGGATCCACCAGACGTTCAGGAGCGCGGAAAGTCCCGGTTTTTTTCATTTCCGCTCAAAGCTCCGAACGTCTGGTCACGAGACTAATAGGCGCCATACAATTGCTGCTAATTTGCCGGACTCTTCGTGGTCTCACTTGCTACCAAAGCTGTTGTGGCAGCCACTGGACGCGGAAGGACACTGCACTGCCAGTCTGGCCCTAGAAGGGTCCGAATAGAAAGAGAAGCTGCAAGGCTTCGAGGCCCTGACATTCCGTGAGGCAGCTAACTCCCTAGACCCCAAGACCGTGGACTCGACCACGGAGTGCATGAGGGCGGACGTAAGGATGGAACTTGTCACCAATGAAAACAGTCATCGACAGCAAAGCTAAAAAAGGAAGGTGAAGATCATCCGCACATGGGCTTCATTCGTTAATCCCCCTTGTTGCCTCAGGCTCGGTGGCAGATATGAACGGGGTACTTGGATCCTCGGGAACCGGTCGACAAACTTCTCGCACTGTCATGGCTAAAGAAAAAGCTGCGCGAAAATTCATAATCGGTAACAATACCCTCCCGGGCTACTCCATTTTACTTAAGTACTGGTTTCGCAAGTCCAGGCCGATAACCTCATCGTGCAAGCTAGTGGTGCTCTACTTTGAGTGAGAACTCCAGGTATCCCTATGGTAGATCGATCACAAACTGATATCTAGACTAGCTGGTGTTTCACGTACATCCGTGACAGAGCAGTGGGCTGCGTATTGTCCTCTTTCGCAAGGTGACTTAGAGCTTCTTCCGCTGACGTCTGCTCCGGGCTCTCACGGAGATGAACGTGATTATTAGTCTCCCTCGCCAGCTTCTCCTTGTAGAAAGAAAGACTGCAGGGAAGAGCGTCAGCTATTGCCGGGGGTTTTCATCGCAGATTGCGAAAACCACGTACACATCGCTGGAAGAAGAATTGTATAGCAGTCAGAATTAGACAGGCCCAGCAGCGACCCAGGTACTTAGTACCCGGCGTCCAGTGTTGCATGTCCCTGACGTGATGCATTGGTGTACAGAAGGTGGACGCGCGCGAGAACAGCCGCTCACGGAAGCACCTGCGGATACGACGCCGGTGTCGCACATGGATATACGGCGGACCTAGTCTAGCCGTCGTGCGTACATAGATAGCGGGGGAAACGGAATGCCGACGGCTTCACCATCTTACACTTTGTGGTGAACTCAATGTACTCTACATAGCTGAGGATGGCAACAGTGAAGCCGGCAACGACACCGCTTCCCAGGCTGACGGCGTGTACCGCGGGCTGGCTCAGGGGCGCTTGTTTTCCTCCGATATGCTGCGGTAGACGGGCTCGTGGCAGGACTCGTTCACTGTGTATCGTGCAATGGCGTACGGGATCTGTCTGCGAGGAGCCGTCGTGTCAGGCGCGGGGCGCGAGGTGAGGCACGCAAGACTATAGGCTCTAGTTACAGCACTACTGACCGGAATGTGTACACTTGCTTGGGCATCGGTGTATCAACCGGCAAAAAGGTTTTGTGTATGCAGTGGTGCTTGCAACCCTACTGTATGTCATGGCAGCTTGGTCCATAAGAATATATCCACTGACATCGCCTCTCAGGCAGAGTGGGACCAGCCCTTTCAGCCCACACAGCAGGTGCAGTTCTACCCATCAACTCCCTGTGCGCCACACACTGACATTGATGTTCCTGCTACACTCATCGCCCTCTCCCGGTTGGCTCACCAGTCATATATCCCAACACGCCACCAGGATGACCTACTTGCGCTGATTCATCTTTTGGTCTCGTTGCGTCCTGGTCAGTTCGGGTCGACATACACTCCCGAGGTCTCCGCAGTGTTGTACGTGTATCATGCTGCGTTGGATGTCTCCAGCGTCTTTGCGCCGAGAGTGTACGAGACTCAGTTCTGATCGTCGATTTGGCCACGCCCAGTGATTGCCACGACGCGGTCTTCTATCTCGCCCAAACCGTACGTTGCGCGACGTATCAGTGGATTCAAGAATGTCAATCCCGAGGTGTGTCGGAGATAACCGTAACGCAGTCCCGTTCGACAGAGGCGTTCTTTGCTCGTGTGGGCAGGATGTGTATATAACCAGCTAGGTTCATGGACGGTGAATTCTTATATACCGTCCTTCGACGACTCGCTCGTGGTGGAATTCAGGTACCCCTGTGCGCACCCGGTAAATCTTCCTGGCGCTATCCTCGAATAGGCGTAGATGTAATCGTCGCGTTGATTTAAAATTTCAACAGCGACATGTGATGAACAGTCTTTCTGCAAGGCCATTTTCGCTTTGCCAAGAGGTACCCACTCTACTCTCGACTCAAGACTGCGCTCAAAGGGAGGGAGGCTACGCGCATCCCACATTCATTAACTACATGGAGACATCGTGAAGCGCGTTCCCGAAAGCCGGTAAACCGCTCAGATTCTATAACATGAGGTACGCAAGGCATCCAGTATTGTGTCATGCATACGTTAATTGCCACATTTCACGGCCGAACCCAACGTGCACATCACCGATGCTACAATCGCCTGAGCGGATCGGGGCTGTTGTTGAATGCTCTAGTAGCGCCTTCCCATGCATCCATCCCCGCCGAGAGTCTTGATACTCCAGAACAATGCTCCACCGACCAGGACCGTGATTATTACGAACAAGTTCCGGGGCAAGCGATATCGTGGCGCCCGGAAAAGCTGCTACCGGAAGAAGCGCAGCGGCGGGCGATACATACCGCAAGAGCTCAGTCACTAGTGGCAGAAACGAACGAGCAACGGCCAATCAAGTGGGCGGCTGGTAAACATTTGTCCGCCATGGGCTATCAAGACCGGCCCTATGCCTCCCGCGTCTACATGTTGCTTTTGTGCCGAACAGTCGTATATCCGATCACATTGAGCTTTCAAGAGGTAGGCGAACTATGAGAAAGAGGACCTCGCCCATCTTATATATATTCACATCGCGACAGAAACCTCTGGCTTTCATCAAGTCAGACTCTAGCAACAGCTCTACTCACCGGCATTTGTACCTCGCATCAGTGCCGCAACCGTTTAAACGTCTACTTTGTACAGCAACTATGCTTGCAACCCCACAGTACGTCGCGAGTTAGTACATAAGGATGCATAGTGACATCGCCTTTCAGTCAGAGTCTGCCTCACTCTTCCGGCCCACACAGCAGGTATGACTCTACCCATCTACTCCCCGTGCGTCGCACACTGACATCGACGATCCTGCTATCCCTGTCACCCTTCGGGGCTCGCTCACCAGTCATATACACCAGCACAGCACCAACGACTTAGATGCGGTTGCAACAACCAAGCGTCTGATCCGAGACTTCCTGCAGCGCCTCCCTTACCGTGATCCCGGCCATCTCCCCAATGCCACACTCCGAAAAGAAGTCGTAGCCGAGGTCGTCTCGTGGAATTTGAATCTGGAATCAAGCTACGTCGAAGCCGTCGTCGATACAGCCGCCGCCACCGGGGAGTATACTTATGGGCACATGAGCTACGAGTATCAGCGGTTTTCCGCCATGTACACTGTGTGTTTGGCTTTCGTAGATGACCAGGGGTACCGCATCCCTGACGCGATGGGACAATTCGGCCAGCGGCTCCTCCTCGGACAGCCGCAGCTGCACCCCGCTCTGGCGCGGTTGGCCGCACTGCTCAAGACCGTTCACGAACTTTTCGCCCGTGTCAGCGCCGACGCCATCGTGACCAACACACTGGACGGAATCTCCGCGATGTACGTCGAAGTGACTTCGAAGGACAGCATTTGTTCCCCTTTAGCTACCAAATATCCGTACTACCACCGTCTGAGGGTTGGTTTCGCGTCTGGATACGCGCACATCGGTTTCGTGAAGAGTTTGGAAGACGTACTAGGCACCTCCCATCTACAATTGATACCGTGAGCTCTCCTTTCGACACGGTTTGTTTTTATTCTGACGCCAATCTTGACAGTGATCTGGAGCTTGTGGTCGTTGGTTTCAAGTACGTCCCTCGTTGTTGGCTTCTCTATTGAGGCTATCCATGCTGAGGGCGCGAACGGGCCATGTTAAGCGATATGTGGGTTCTTCTATTTTACGTGAGTAAGTGAACTACACATACTGATTGATAACTCCAGACTCTCTTATTACAAAGAGATGCTCGTCGGCGAGGAAAACTACATCAACCTACGAGCAGTGAATGAAGGCAAGAAGCCCCTCGCAGTGCTTTCCGAACTGATCGAAGAGTGTCTGGATGCCGCTCGCACCATCACGCAGTTGGCTTCCAGGACGCCTGGCCTGGAGGCGATTTGCTCAAGCGTCATGAACGTAAGTAGCCGTGTCGACCTGCATCCCGTTGCTTCCGTGCGACAATTCACCGTTCTGATCCTTTCCGGATAGGGCTATGTCGAGTTCCACCTCAAGGCGCGTCGGTATCATCTGGAGGAATTGAGCTTTGCGGAGCAATCCTAGGCTCGGGCGAGACCCTACTGACGAGCAAACACCAAGATTTTCTACTGTCTGTTCATTCGTGTTCAGAGCACATTGTTCAGATGCTTTACCATGTAGTCGTGAGCCACCGAATCTGCCTCAACAACAAAGAACCTTTCCAACGGGGTGAGATGACGGCGAAGACCATAGGCTAGTCGTTGGAACTATAGTAGACTCGTACCCACTGGAGTACCCCTATCGTGATTGAGAATATTGTCCCTTTGCAAGGAAAGATTCCTTAAGGGCCGATTGTGAAGTTAGACCAGGAGTTGATCCGCCCTTTGGCCAAGACCACCGAACGCACACACGATAGCAGGCCCACTCGTCTCGTGGTGAATAGCCATAGCTTGTAGAGAAATCCACGACGGGGAAGACAAGTAGAGTGTTCGGGAGGGCATGCACATCCGAACCCTCGTGAGAGTAGACCGTCCTGATGCCTTGATATTCATGGTGCCTGTGAGGCGGTTTGCACACGCCGCACCTGTAGTGACAACCGTGACACTACATGAGGCCTTGCTATGATGGGCACTTCGCTCTAAGTCCGTTGTGTATTTATATCTACTATTTTCATGATACCGAATGACCAAGGTGTTTCAGTCTGCTCATGTTGTCCGATTCGCCTATGAGGTGGACGGTTCGGACATTGAAATTGAGCCGCCATTTGCGACTCGGTAGTCCTTGAACGGTTGACTTGGCCCGCGTCCACCGAGCGATTTTGTTGTTGGACCCGGGCTTACTTGTGCAATTATCCCGAGAACAGGTCAGATGATGCAACAAAACGGCGAACACCAGGATGGAAGGACTCAGGTACTTCCGAGGCAACGCTCGAGGGACATCGCGGCATCGATACACAAGTGGCAAGTGCGTCGAGCTTCATGATTATATCATGGATTATAGGACGACAGTGCGAATCACGTTGTCATCGACAACATATCAAGGTGCGCTTCCAGAGCGCAGTAAGTATACATTCAGTTCACCCCGGCCGCTCACAGAGGCTTCCTCTCCGTCACAGTTAACCTCAGATCGATCCCATCGAACACTACTCGGACCTGCTCCAACGTGTCCACGATGAAGTGCGCCCCGCAATTCTCGATCTTCGACCTCTCGTGGCTCGTGCACACAGCGATGACGATCGCCCCAGACGCGGCCCCCGCACGTATTCCCGAGGGCGAGTCCTCGAAGACCACACACTGCCTTGCGCTGAACCCGAGCTCCTTGGCAGCGAGCAGGAACGGATCCGGCGCGGGCTTGCCAGCCTTCAGACGCTTGTCGCAGGCGGTGATGGTCACCTCGGGAGGTATGATGCCGACGCGCGTCATGCAGCCGTAGGCTGAAGCATAGGGGATGTGTAAGTGATCCTTCCGAGTGACTCAGGAGGACGAGAAACAGTTCACCATAGGTTCTTGCGCCAGACGTCGCGACGGCATAACGGCCCTTTGGAATCGAGTCCATGAGCCGCTTGACACCGGGGAGGATACGTACGGAGCGATCGACGGCAGCGGCTTCGATCTGCCACGCCTCGAACTTGTGCTTCTCCGCGAGTGCGGCCCTCCAGTCCTTCGCTTCCCCATCCTCTACGAACACCTCATCATCGATCGCTCCCTCCACGACAATCTCGGCAAGACGGTCCGTAACGTGACGCACAAACGACGGGCGAGGCGCCACCGTACCGGCAAAGGAAGACGAGCGAGATGACGCCTCGGAGCTGGAGCCCGAGTCCGAGGACGCCAGCGCGGGTGTCGCGACCCCAGAGGAGATCGGCGAGACCTCGCGTGAGCCGGGACCATGCTTGTTGAACGCGTCGGCGAAGAAGAGGATGGACTCCTCGAACGCTTGCACCTCGGCGTCCATCTCGTGCGCCTTGATGTGCGCCTTGAACTGGGCGAGGTTGTCTACGGCGCGCTTGCCGTGGGTCGCGGCGATGACGTGCGCGGGGTCCTCGCCGATGTCAAGGGCGACCTTGCCCCATGCGGCCTCGACGGCGGCAATGGAGTCGGTGAGTGTGCCATCCTGTGTGGCCGTTAAGTGAGTATCTAGACAGTGGTCTGGGAATCAATATGAGACATACCATGTCGAAGAGGGCGGCGTCGGCGAAAAAGGTGGTGATCTTGACCTTGTTAGACATCATGAATATGTTACCGTGTGTGCGCTTTGGTATGTGGGATGGTAATGATTTTGGTGAGGATGGGAAGGCCAAACGGGGGCCCTTTTATAGGCCCAGGGGGGATGGGGCGCGGATGTTGGACTTGATCGCAAAACTCGATTTCTCTCCAAGTCTTGCTCACTATAGAACCCACTGTGAGTATGCAGGGGATTTTTCACTAAAGAGGACGGGTTGGTCCCTCTACTGACAGAGGCCTAGCCTCTTTGATGTCGGATAGGGCGAACCCTCAGGCTGGGCCCCATAGGTACTCACTGAGTACTCGGATGCGGTTGTCGCATTCTTTCGAAGGCCGTTCAGGATTGGACCGTAGTAACGAGTGCATATAATGCCTCCAGAGCTAAGGCAAAGAAAGTTGTGCGGTGGTTCACAAGAGAGCGAGACTTCGAAGCTTTTTGATCGGCCGCGGGGGCCGGATGGGACAGTGTATAACCGTCGTCAACTTTAAAACTAGGCTGATAAGTGTCTTTTACCAGTCAGTAGCGAACGTCTGCTGTGATCATTGCCTCCGACTCTTTCCCCAGAAAGAGAAGTACTGTGTCGGTTGTCTCCGGTCCGGAGAACGCTGCAGGGGTCAAAACCGCCCTGGTAGCAAGAATTATTTGGGAAGGCTGGATCAAGAACATCGCTGGACACCTGCAATGTAAGCTTGAAGCGCTGCCCCTACACCGTTGTTCTGTGCAGCTCGATAGGGCCTCTGCACCTTATTGAGAGGAGCAGAAATCCAGACAATAGTCAGAAGCCGCACTCAGACCTTGTGGCCATAGCACTGGGAGCTGAGACGGGAGTCAAGGGCTGTACTCGATTCCGACATACCTTCAGGCTTCACCTCGGACTGGGTCGAGCGCATCTTGTCTTTGGCCGTCAAGAGCGAAATTTAGTGGTGATCGGCAGTCATATGGGTGCATTGCACGTACCGGGGCCAATAGGGGTAGTCAAAGATGGCGGTTCGGAGGACGGTTCGTCGAGCGATTCTGCAGCGATTCCGTCGAATGGAATCGTCCTGGATTCGTGTGGGCACTTTGACCACCCCACGTTTCTACGGGTCGATTCCAGGGTAAATTCTTGAGTCGGTCAGGCCTTCGGGCGTCTGTGATATCAAAATCAGTGTAGTCCATGCATCCTCGCGCGACGGTTTCTCTCCGTGTGCCGCGTTGCTCTACCCCCCTACTATGCTTCGTTACAGCTCTTGGGACCTCAGAGAAAATAAATATCTATCCATTTCATCAAACAGACACACGGCGCACTTGATTCCCGGTCTTCGTGCCAGAGCCAGCAGAAGGTTGCCAAGTGAGACGGCCAGACTTTCTGACAGTAGGGTTTTCGGTCTGATTGGACATTTGAAGGTGGAGGGAATCTGTAGACCAGCAATTCTGATAAAAGTAGAGAAGCGGCAAGCTTGCAGTAGGGCCATGGTCGCTCGTAAGACGTGCTAAGACAAACCCCAGTACAATTTCGACATATAACCTATTTTAAAAGGGCTTATCCGAGGTCGGGCTGAGGGAATCGAGTGCAGAGAATCGCGATTCGGGTGTGCGGTGCTCCTCCAGACTCGCACCGGCGATTCGACGCGATTCTGCCAGAAACGCGGATTCCCCCCTTCTCGAATCGTCTCCCGAATCGTTCCCTCGAATCGTCAACCGAACCGCCATCTTTGACTACCCCTAATTTACAGCGCCTTGCATGAGTCCGTGAACGCGCGGATTTTTCTCTCCGGCGTCTACCCTACCCGACC